GAATATAAATTATTTATAAATACGTATGTCAAGTTATATTTTTATTACGACGCAAAATATATTTAAGAGTTTACGGCCACTGTTCCGGGTGAGACGTTGTTGAAACAAAAAAAGTTATGCATTCCATCACGTACATAAACAGTATCGTAATTCGCCAAGTGCAAATCAGCAAATTCGTAAAATTTTTGTTTATTTTGAACAATCCGGATAATCGAAAATCCGGATAATGGAGGTTCTACTGTACTTTCAATAAGAAGAAACATAAGAACATATTTTCTTTAGATTTTAGAATTCACAATAACCATATAAAAAGCAATATATTTTTGTTTATTTGGCTATTATATACAGTTGTCCAACAGAAAAGTAAACTATCTTATTTATAAATCTTTTCAAAATAGACAGTTTGATCGGGCTCTTCTAAAAACCGGGCCCTAGACATTTCTCTCATTTGTCTATGCCAATGGTTCCCAATTAGTGGTACGCGTACCCCCGGGGGTATGCGAAATTGCATGAAGGGGTACGCGCGGCAATCTAAAATTGATTGCCGCGCGTAAAATTGTCGATTTAAAATTTAAATGCATGAGATGAAGCAATCAAAAAATAATGGGTGGACCATCAAAAATTCGGCAATTTACAACATGATGTCGAATGCACAAATTCGTTTATCTATATCTATATCTATACTACTATATAGACAACGTATTTTTCGTTTGTGACCACTAACCGTGAAAACTACTAAACCAATTGTTACCAAACTTTAACTGTAGCATCTTTATGATCCCTGGAATATTTACCATTAATCAAACCTACAGATTTTTTATTAATTAAATAAAACTGCAACGGATTTTTGTCTATCTATTTCTCTCTCTCTTCACTAGATGGCGACACAAGCTGTCTATAAGAAAAGTTTATTATTGAAGTTCACTATTATATTTGAAGAACTGACATTAAATTATAATTAGTTAATTAGCAAAATCTTTGAGGAATTAAAAAAGTGACGTCATCACGCTAGATGGCCGTATATGTACAGTACTTATGGCGAGTTTTCGAATCGTTTCTTCAGGTAATTGACAAATTATTCGAAATAATTATCGGTGAATATTTTTGAGATTGATTGATAAATAATGCCGAGAGCTGCAAGAGCACGAATAGGAAGAAACAGTTAATAATTGTAGACGACGTGAATCTACACTTCTACAGCAAAGACTGGAAGGGCAACGAATTCGTTCGGTTCAGAATCGAATGCGTGTAGCGAGGAATTTTTTAGGTTTCACATCAATATAACTTATTCAGAAGTTTTATGATCTTATTTTTTTATATTTTGCAAAACTCTACTGCAATACTACCCATTGATCACTCAAAAATAATTAATGAACAATTAGTTCAAATTTTCTAAGTTCTATATGTATACAGGTATACCTCGACTTACGCGTTTCGAGTTACGTCGTTCCCGATTATACGTCGTTTGTGAAAAAAGTATATGGAAAAATAAAAATCAAGTTTAAGTCATTTTATTCGACTTTACGTCTGTCCACCACAAATATTGAAGTCGTAATATCACTAGAAAAATGTTTAAAGCACATAAAATCATATTACATTTACCAGTGGCGTGCCGTCATTAGAAGCGGTGGAAGCGCCGCTTCACACGTATTTTCTAAAAAATAAATCAATATTAATTTTAATTATATGAAAATAATCGCACAATATTTTATTATAACCGCATTATATATTTTATTACAAATTTCTATACTACACATAAAAAAAATTGCTTTTGTATATTCGAATATTAGTGGCGGAGTGGAATCTCTGAAATTTTCAATTCCAAAAAGCCAGATTTGCGCATGCGCTTTACAGAGCACCAACCTCACCCGGTTTAGCCGGTGGAAGCCTACGACCTTGGGTGAAAGTTGCACACATATAAAGATTTCAATTCTGTCAAGGACATGTTTTGGGCTGTTAGCCGCCTGCCCACTAGATATTTCGATTACGTGAATAACGAGTAGATTTATAACTTAACCCAACCGATAAGAATTTACTGGTATGTTTTTACGATAGTTCTGTATAGTTGACAGGAGTTAAAAAAATCCATTAAAATATTTGATATATTTATTCCGCTTTCCGATTTTATATTACTCACGGATTTCAATGTTAAACCGGTGATATTACGATTTCGTACATTCCATCTTTAAGGGGATGTAGAAAAAAACGTGTACAATTCTTGTATAATGTTAAAAAATTAACCGATACTTCGACAGCATCATTTACAACTAAATTTAATGAATGAGAGAGATGCACGAGGTACAGAAAAAGCTCTAGAATTTATTTTCCTTAAATTTACGATTTATCTGTTTGTCATAAAAATTTGTCTTTCCACTTTGTTCCCGAGACTACAAATATTCGAGTACAGTACAAAGTAACTGGTTTCGACTTATTTCTACTTAAGTAGTAGTTAATTAAGCGATTAGGGAATTGGGGACGTAAACAAAACCTGACGAAAGAGCCGGAATATTACTTAAACAAAAGCTTAACCGAACTAATCTATAGCCGAGTACAGCGGGGACTGATTTCTTCGAAATACTGTATTAGATGTAATAAAGACAGACATTTTTCCAGTTCAACGAGAGTGACCGAAAAGTTGTAAATTTTGGAAATTTCCGTGGACAACACCTGGTCCTAAAACGAATTAGTTAGAAAACAAAAGACGGACAATCTATTAATTAAGTTTAATATATTTAGATTTTTACAGCTATGGTGAGAAACGTTTAAAATTTACAACAACCCTGTCGCGTCCTTTGAGATATACTAATGATGCGACAAAAGAGGTACAGTATTTGACACTGACCGGTATCGGCACCCCGGAGATTTGGCAGTCCGCGTGTATGCACGCTCTGCAACCGTCTTCGATTCCATCCATTAGCCACTTGTAGGGAGCTATTTGAGTAAGTGCATTGTTTTAAGATTTAAAAAGTAAAGAATATTTTATATTTTTATGTACGTTTCTTTGCAAAGCTATATTTAATTATAATTTTCTTTAAAAGTATATTCATANGTGCATTGTTTTAAGATTTAAAAAGTAAAGAATATTTTATATTTTTATGTACGTTTCTTTGCAAAGCTATATTTAATTATAATTTTCTTTAAAAGTATATTCATATAATTGAAGGATATTTTTATGTACCAGTACATCCACCACATATTTTATTTCACCAAGTTTTTATTATTTTATTTTTAATTGTAGCCCTTATATAGTGGCTAGCGATTCGGAATGTAATTGTTATATTAAAAATGCATTTAGAGAAGTCTACGGTTTTTACTGGCTTATCGAATAAACGATACGAATGGACCCTAGACCAGTGATGGGCAAACTACGGCCCGCGGGCCAGATGCGGCCCCCTGAAATGTTCTATCCGGCCCGCGCAACATTATTCCTAATCTGACGAGTAAAAAAGAATACAGGCTGTGGTGGTTGATGCACCACCTGAGTGTTCGTTGATTATATAAAATAACCGAAGCTTTATATCTCACCATGAAAGTTTATTTACAATCATGTACAAAATTTTGTTTTACACTTATTGAGTAAAAGCTCGTTCGGTTACAAGCATGCTTCGGTACAGAACATCCACTCGTCGTGCGTAGCGTAGCCGAAAGAAAGAAAAAGAAATATGGCGGACGGCCTGCACATGTTTTTATAGCGCCACCTGGATTTTCAGATGCAGCGCTAGGTTACAATTATATTGGCCCACCTAAAGTTTTCTTCTTTTCCTTTGGCCCGCTCTTTAAAAAGTTTGCCCATCACTGCCCTAGACCATCACTGACGCGCAATTGACTGATTGCCCCTGGATGTCGGCTTCTTACAGAAACAGCTTCCCTATCATCAAATGTCACGGCACGCCCCTGTATAATAAATACTTGACTCCTTGACTTCTTCCAATGCGGACCAGAGAAACAAAAAGGTTGGACACCCCTGGTCTAAACCAAAATAAGACATTTAGAACCAAAAACTAAATCTCGAATACTCGTACCAGTTGTAAAAATGTAAGTACAGTAGTTAACTCCAAGACAGCACAGAACGCGCTAGCAATGAAACTGCATTCTAACATAAACATAAGAAGAAAAATGTTATCCGGATTCCGGATAACATTTTTCTTCTTATGTTTATATTAGAATGCTGGCGCGTTCTGTTGGCAAAAGGCATCTGGCTATTACCTAGTTATCTGTATTCGAATTCGGTTTGATCCTCAAAATTTTCATAAGTGACATTCGGTAACTCGGGCCTTATTTTGCCTGAACGGTTGCCAAATTAGTTGTTTTGGTATTTTCCAAGAGAAACAACTTTAATAAGCGTAGTCTATAGTAGGCTATTTTTAATGAAAGAATAACAAATAGAAGTTTTTTTCGTTCTCTAAAAATTATAAAATAACGACATTTTTGAAAATTGTAATAAAACTACTACGAATTAAAAAATAACAAAAATAATTGAAAAAGAATACAAAAATCAAACTAAAATACTTTTCTTATTTGTTTCTTCCAAGAGAGGTCGCTATGTTCAACTTTGCTACAGATGGGTAGAAATTGAAAGAATTTGTTGTTTGAATTGGACTGTTGTTGTTAGTTTCTAATATCTTCGTAAAAATAAAATATTTATACTTTAGATACGTAATTACATAAGCAATAAAGACATGGGGGTGCCAAAGTTTTATCGATGGATAAGTGAGCGTTATCCTTGTCTGAGCCAAGTTGTTCAACAAAATCAGGTAAGATATTGTATCATTAGCATCATTTGACCCTGTTATGATGCAAGACAGAATCATGTTATACTTTATTTTTTCTCTTATTTCCCGAAAATATTAAATACTTTTTAACATATTAAGAAAATCAAATGGATCTCTACTAGCTAAACTTTTAAGAAATATATAATTCTAATGATCAGTCATAAAAAATCCAATATTTTGTAGTAGATTGGGAAACAAAATCTTCTGTCTACTTTAATTCTGCTTTAGATACCATATTAAACACATATTATTTACTATAATACATATTTTATTTGTACTTTGAGTATTAGTGATAATTTATATTTACTTTGATTTTATATTGCCAAAATTTTTCTACAATTTTTCTTTATTATATAGTTGTATTTAAATCCTGTTCTATTGAAAGAAATATATCTTATATATTTCTTTCAGAAATAAATCAATAAAAAGAAATATATTAATATAGGGTAAAAGTTCATCACAAATCTGTCAATCCATTACATTTATACAAAATTATAAAAACTGTTTATTTAGCTTAATATTTTTAGAACATTTTTCTTGTTATGAGAGATTAATATACAGTAGAGCATCGATTATCCGACTCAATTGGGAACTCGGGTTGGTCGTATAACCGAAAAAAATGAAAAAAATACATTATTAGTATAGTATATTAGTATATCCCATGTAATTAGTATATTAGTATATCGCTATTAACCAACTTCGCATTGAATTTTCATCGATGTTAAGCCTAACAAATTTAAAAAAAAAATAATAATCGTCTCTATCGTATCGTTAAAAATTATTTTTAAATTATTTTATTGCTCACAAAACAAACAACCACTCATAATTAGAAAATTAAGTCTTGTTTAAATACTGGCTGCCCGTTAATGGTCAAGCCATGTTGCCAGCTAAAACACGCAAAAATTTAACATTAAATAATATTAAAGTAGCCAAGACATAGCCAAATATTGTAGTGCCACATCACTAGTGGACATTTGAAATTTGCCAACTAGAACGGTCGGTTAATCGGGGGTCGGATAATCGATGCTCTACTGTAATTGTAACATGTAAAAATACATCAAATATATATTTATTTATTTGATACATTTTTCATAAAGATTTCATCACTATTAAGTAATCATTTTTGTACAATAAATACTTTTCTTGTGCAAAAGTATTTTGTTGATTATGAAAAATGTCTGATTTTTCAAATCAATGATATTTGCATTCAAATACTAAGTACTAAAAATAACTGTTATGAATTATTTTTGTTTAATTTATTATTAAAAAGGAATATGTCTATATTAAGTGGGAGTTATTATTTCCAATAAAAATTTGATGTAAAATTAAAACTTTTGGATACATAAATCTGAAAATTATTTATTTACTTAAATAATTTATTATTAGCATTCAATTACATAATAAGAGAAACTTCAAAATTTTAAAATTTAATTTCAGATATTATTTCAGAAAAATATAATTTAATAAAAATAATGGTCTCTAAAGTAAATTATTATTTGACTTGTGCAATCCTCTTGGTATGGCATAGATAATAGATGTCACAATCTATTGGATGCCTTTGATGTCTTGATAAATTTTCTTTTCGGAGACAGTTTCAATTTTAGAAACCCAAAGTAATCTCAGATAGATATATCTGGAGAATATGGTTGATAGTTGAGCCTACGTATTTCTTTTCAGACCAGAAATTTTTATACAGCAACTGCAACTGCTCTATGAATGGGTGACATTGTCACAAAACAGGAACCAACTGGCTTGATTCACAATAATTAAGCTTGAGATGAATATTTTATTCTGAAATCATTGAAAAACATTCAAATGATGATTACCAGTGACAGTTTTGCATTTTGGAGAATAAATGTAGGATGAATAATAGTTTCTAACAATGAGGAGTTTATTGTGAATTGGATATCCTGACTTAAAAGATGATTAATATAATTTTATAATTAAATATTACATAGGGCTTCCACTTACCATTAGTCAGATTGATTTGAAATAAAACTATTTGTTTGACTTATAGAATTAAGCATAACTTTGTCATATTATTATAGGAAGTCTCATGGGTTTTTTATAAGGCTTGAAGTGACATTTTTGTGGTGACAATTAGATGCCCATCTACTAGTAGGGAGTGTGTCAGCATACTGTTAATAACCATCCTCTCTTATATTTCATTTGAAAATATGGGGAAGTTCAAATTGGTAATTGCCCATGCAAAAAAAAAAAAAAAGTCAAGTACTTGTTACATATATCAATAGATCTATCAAGAATGTGATAATGAACTTAATATTGTGTTATAAAGGATAATGTAAAATACTCCTCAAACCTTTTAACCAGAGTGCTTCTATTTTTAGAATCGCAGATGTTTTCGTTGCCCCTTCTGGGCTCTTCTTCAGGCTTTAACGAATAGACCACTCTGGTTAAAAGGTTTGAGGAGTATTTTATTTATATTCACCGGAGTGTAGAGAGATTGTATAAGGATAATGTATTTAGTAGCTTCTGTTCTCAAGAAGTAAAGATATATCAAAATGATTTTGATGCACACAATGAGTGCTAGATGTTATATAAAAGACCTTAAATTCAGCTTTAACACATCTGAATAGACCTATATAATAGTCTCTGTAATCCAACATATATTGGACTGGCATGTAATATTGGATTACAGCAGATTGTTGGATTACTAGATTTTGTATGTACAGTAAAAAGCACACTTTGTTACAGATTAGTTTACCATAAAAATCATAATTATGACTGTTTTGCCAACCACATGTGCAACAAACAACTAATGACTGACAGTATACATATATATTGACAAATGGTATAATGAAAATTTCATGTGTGCCATTCTGCAGAATGTCAAATTGCTGAATGTAATGAACTATAGAGACTACTGTATTATAAATAAATTGAAGTTAGATTGTAGAACAGAAAATTTCTGATCCTAATGTTTCCTACTTTAGCAAAACTTTAAAATGTTGCCCATGTGATTATTTTGAGATTATTTATTATTTTATTTTTTATTTAAATGATTATTATTATTTTGAAATTATTGAAATTATGATTATTTTAAAATGCATCCCCGTATGAATGGATAAAAGTTTAATTATTTTTTGTTGTTTAAAAACTAATTAAATTTTTGTCTATTTAAACATTGTTCTCAAAATTTAGTCAAATTTATCTGCATTTAAAAAAGAATAATTATTTATTAAATTACAATTTTATGACCTGGAAACTGAAATGTTTGAATTTTTCATCATTTTGAAAAATATCTTTGACCCTCCTCAATTATTTTCACTCCTTTAATTAAGTGATCCAAAACTTTACAAAAAAGAAAACTATAAAAACTAAAAACTATAAAAAGAAATTATTTCCAATCAGTTTTCATTACAACAGTAATTTTGACTTAAATATTCAATATTGTTCAGAAAAGTTTTAATGGATTATGTCTATACATTGTTTACTTTTGAATAATAAATTATGACTAAAGATCTTCCTTTATTTTCAAAATCTTTATTGTATTATATTTGTATTTAAAAGCTGCACCTGTTAAGATGTATCCTTTAAAGCAGAAAAGTATTTTAATTTACTTTGTAAAACTAAATATTAACAAAAAAGTTTGTTATTTCATCAAAATAGCACAGCACAGGTATGGAATGCATGATGCATACAAATCATCCCATCTGCATCTATAAGTTTTTTTAAACTGTGTGCAAATTTGACAAAATTATGAAATTAAGCCTAAATCTAACATGCTGAATTAAAAATATTCTAATATAATTTGAAATGTAATAAATAAATATATTTCATTAATAAGTAATGCCATCTCAGGAACTATAAACAATACTTCCAATAATTTAATTATTGGAAGTATTGTTTATATTATTATATTTGTTACCGGCCAAACCCGATTTCAGGCCAAACGGGTTTATCCTACGTGTGTCAGGATATACTAGTTTAGTCCAGGACAATCTAGTTTGGCCTAAATACTTTAGGCTTAACTAGATTGACCTAGGCAGAACTGATTTCGATGATTATTGTTTTTATATTTGGAAAAAGTTTTCAAGTTTTATGAATTTTTTCAGATAGGGTTTTTGTATAATATTTACTTATAATGAAGGCCTGATAAAGATCTTCGAAGAAAAAAAGCACGATGTTAAACATTGTTTTGTTTGTTCTAAAAAGCATAAGTATGTTATGTAATTTGGTCAAAATAAAATATTTGTTTATTGCAGTACGACCTTTGTACTCAAAAATTCCTATAAGAAAGTGATGTTAATCAAGATGTTCAAATCTCATTAAGGACTACAGCTACCAAACATTCAGTTGGGACATCACAAGATGCACCTGTACCAAAAACTGTGATACAAATAGGTGCCAATGTAAAAACATGATTTTGTGTAATTTGAATTGCCACAACAGTACACCCTGTAAAAATAAATAAAACATTAAATATTTTATATGTCACACTAAGAAGCACAAATAAGTTAATTTTTAATTTTAGTTAGACAAAATTATTATTATTATTATTATTATTACTGTTTAATTTTTGAAAATATTTTCGAAAGTTAAATTACCTTTAAAAGTGCATGGCTTGATAAAAAAAAAAAAACATACAACTGATAAGTACTGATTAGCTTATTTTTATTTTATAGTTTTGTACTGTACAAGTGTTGTGTCACTTCTAATCAATACTGTTTTTTATAATTAAGTACACTATGTTTGAATAAATATTGTTCACTTAATTGAGTGCCTTTTAATTTTATTTTAACCATTAATATACTTGAATAATAACACTAAATAAATCAGTTCGGCCTAGGTCAAACTAGTTAAGCCTAAAGTATTTAGGCCAAACTAGATTGTCCTGGGCTAAACTAGTATATCCTGACACGCATAGGATAAACCCGTTTGGCCTGAAATCAGGTTTGGCCGGTAAGAACTAAAGTATGCATTTAATTTATAAAAAAAATTATTATTATTATTATTATTGA